ACAAAAAACCTCCATAGGCACCCCTATGGAGTCAACCGCATCACCGCATCACGACCGCGCTCCCGCGGTCGGCCCGGGGTTTTCCGTACGGTGGGCGCCCCCTGCAAGCCGGTCGTTTCAGACATCGGCCCCGACGGGGACGTGTCACGAAGTAAGGAAGAGGGTCTGTAGTACAATTCCGTACCACGACCGCCCAGGGGAAGTGATAACCGCGCGGGAGGATGGGTGCTACTGTAACGAGCGGGCGTACACGCGCTCGCCGCCGTGTACAGTAGTACCCCAAGGGTCCGACGTGGGACAGCCGGTAGCAGCGGGCGCGGCCACTGGTCACACGTAGTACAACCGTCGTGGGACAGCCGGTAATAGCGGGCGTGGCCACGGGTAAGACGTGGTACAACCGTCGGACGGGATCGCGGACACGGGCACACGTGTATAATCCGTACGGTGGCGGTAAGTAGTAGTTAATGGCACAAATTAAGTAATTGTGTACAGTAGCTGGTACACAGTAAGTGGCAGCTACTGTAGCGGGACAGGTGTCCTGGCCTCCCTTATAGGGGTTAAGACCGGGGACACCTGCCCGTCCCAGTAAAGAGGAGGCAACCTCGCCTCCCTTCCCTTTACGGCTAATTGCTATCCCGTTCCGGTTTCCCTTTTTGTCTCAAGCTTTTAACCCGTGACCGGCCGTCCGGATCTAACACCACCGACCGGCTGCGCGTCACCGGCCACGTGAGCCTTCTCTCTTTTCGAGTCCATCCGTACGGTCTGCGTTCCCGCGTGGGTTACCCAGCGGCGCGCGCTCCCTTACCTCTAACTCCCTTGTTTCCGAGTGGTCGGGACGAAGGTAGTTATACCACAGCAACCATTCCACTCCATTTCGAGAACTGTGTCCATAGAGAGTTAGAATAATTTTCTTGGACGGGTGTACAAACTTTCTCACAAAACTGTGTAACTGTTAAATCGTCAACAAAGGTTACAAGAATATCCATCTCAATGCGTCCGTTTTGTGTGATTTTATGCACACTGTCGTCCGGGAACCTTCTTTTCAGTCAGTTTGTGTGGTGTTCCATCTTTATGAGAGTATAAATCGAGACGGCTCAAACCACTCGGCGTATTTGCGCTTCCCACTAATAACAGAAGAACGTTGGAGCCTTCAGACTTCTTGCAGATACAACAATGACCGCCTTCAAATGGCTACCGGATCCCTTTGAATTGCTTGAGTTCCGAAAATTTCCGTAGTGCGTGAAAAAGGACCCGTATACATTTTTCTTTTACCATGCTCAACGTCAATGGATGTCTCATGCAGGTTCCATGCACGGTCAGGGTCCTGAAGTAGGCCCGGATTTGATACTCCGAAGCGGCGTAGCACCTGAGAAAAGGACTCTCTATGGTATTAGTCTTCACCTTTCAACTTAGCATTTTCCTTGTCTTCTTTGTTGCAGTATGCCATCTCAGGATTTCTAGTCCGAAAGGAGCGTATTGCATCCGAGCAAGGAATACCGTTTTTCGATCCAGGTGGCCCATTGCTGTAAATCTTGGCCATCAAGGTCTCGAGAGTATTGTCGTTAATTGCAAACCCTCGCCATACTTCTCAGATGATTTTTTCGGATAGCATCTGTTCCTCGATGTCTTTAAGAACCGATTTCCTTCCCGGAATTGTAATAGAGGTGTCTATGTATGCATGCAGCTACTATTCGTCCCGCTCGTGTAAGAGCATGGCGAGGCGGCCGACAGTAGACTTCGAAACAGAAGTTATTGCTGCAACTTCGCGATTTTTCTTGTTCTTTCGAAGACGTTTTACCGCCAACTGTTTTTCTCTGTTTCCGACTGTTGTGTTTTGCTCTATTCTGAAGATGTGATGTTTGGTTTCTCATATGAGAGAAAATATTGAAAGAGCCATAGTTAGTAGAGCGAGATGTGGGAACCTGCGAACCCGCGTCATGTGCGCATATGGTTAATACGGTGTTCAAAGAGGGCGCTCTGTTCGAACTGTCCATCTTGGTGTTGGTTTGCATGCTAGTTCATATTTTCATCAGTTTGGCGGGAAGCCAATCGAAAGATCTGTTTAGGATTCGATCAACAAAGACGGTGCACTACGTTCAGATCAAGATGGGAGGGACAAAACCTTAAAACAACGAAGAAAGAATGGGGACTGGGTAGGTTGGCAAAAATGTTGGCGCCCCAAATTGCCCTTTGTCCCAAAACTCCCTTTTAGGAGGGGTAGTGCTGCTTTTGCTTATGCCACCCTCCCACTAATGTCGGCCAGACGCACGAACACGAAAAGTGCCACCTGTCACACGGGTCCTGGTGTTATGCCGCTTTATGCTGTTTCTCACTGCAAATCACAACAGAGAACCAACGCGGAGCAGGCAGATGTTTACTACTGTACCGAGAGCATGAAAATAGATGTCACGGTGTCACCTACTAATGCCATCTCCCAATAGTGCCTATTTTTGGGGTCTTGTACCGGGCGGCACTAATGGGTAGGGTGCCCTGTATGCCTTTTTATGAGGGCACAAATTGTGATTTCAGGAAGCTCCCATTACTTTACAGTATTAGATCTTAGCGTATTGGCTGTTCCATGCAAGTTTGTCATGGTGCTGAACTCTACTGTGAGAGTCGCGATCAGGAGAATAGGTCCTGCGCGGTCATCCGCTCCGAGATGGCCCTGGCCCCGTCTCATTTTTGCCCCTGGTGTTGCGTCCATGACTCAGCTCGCCTGGTATGCCGTGTTGTAGCGCATTTTTATTCGTTTAAATATCATTGGTGCGGCC